GTGTGTGTGTGTATATATATATATATATATATATATATTGTAAAGATGAATTTCCATTAACCTCTAATTGGATTAACCCATGGGAATTTCTTACTTACTTCTGCTTTATATACTTATATTCAATGAAATTTTTGGCTAACCCTATGATATGTGGATGTGGCCTTAACCCTATGTGCATGGATGGGGATCAAAGTGTGCATACCACAACTTTTTACAGAGTGCCATTCAACATGATATTATATATATATAAATATATATATATATATATATATATATATGATGTGAAAGTTATCAACTATTCATTTTTACCCAACATTGCATCATTTCTTGGCAGAGGAGAGTGAATACCATATACAACACACAGAGATACTGAAAAAACTGTAGATATACATATCAGAGGTTATGAAGATGCAATATGTAAACTATATGGTGGACAAAAATACTTTTATTCTTCACATGAACATCACCTTGCACTCTGACGTGCCAGAGTCTGAGTCAGACTAACATTGTCAATCCACAGACATATCTTGAATACAAATACTTTCAGAAATGCTAGCTTGCAGATCGCTTGCAACACAAATCATGTCATTCTGTAATACACTTGAGTCGTGGCTAGCTTGCAACACAAATCATGTCATTCTGTAATACACTTGAGTCGTGGCTAGCTTGCAACACAAATCATGTCATTCTGTAATACACTTGAGTCGTGGCTAGCTTGCAACACAAATCATGTCATTCTGTAATACACTTGAATTGTGGCTAGCTTACAACACAAATCATGTCATTCTGTAATACACTTGAATTATGGCTAGCTTACAACACAAATCATGTCATTCTGTAATACACTTGAATTATGGCTAGCTTACAACACAAATCATGTCATTCTGTAAAACACTTGAGTTGTGGCTAGCTGCAGATTGCTTGCAACACAAATCATGTCAGACAGTCATTCTGAATCACTACAATATGTTTAAAATTTCCAAAAGTAAAACAGAAATATGGGGGAAGCACAAATGAGAGTACATAGTACTAAGCATGAGATAAAACACAGCAATAAGGATTCGGTGTGTTAAGTTATAGGATCTCACCATGTAAATTGTGGAGAAACAAAGGGCTATTTGAACAGTATCTGGTGACTTGTTTTTCAAGAGACTCCACCAATTAGATATACTGCTGTCCATCTACAACCCACTTTGGACTGGATAGCTCATGTATTGCCATAGCTTGTGACAAATACCTGCAGTAGTCCATTTGTTTGGACATACATTTGCTTCATCATCAGAGAGACAAGATGAAATTAGCTATCCTAATCCAAGCACCCAGGTCTTCAAATAAGATACATCACTAAGGTAGATAGTCTAATCACCCAGGCCTTCAGAAAGGATGCATCACTAAAACAGATAATCTAATCACCTAGGCCTTCAGAAAGGATACATCACTAAGATAGAAAATCTAATCACCCAGACCTTCAGAAAGGATACATCAACAAGATAGATAATGTAATCACCCAAGCCTTCAGAAAGGATATGTCACCAAGAGAGATAATCTAAGCACCCAGACCTTCAGAAAGGATATATCACCAAGAGTGAAAATCTAATCACCCAGGCCTTCAGAAGGGATACATCATTAAGATAGATAGTCTAATCACCCAATCCTTCAGAAAGGATGCATCACCAAAACAGATAATCTAATTACCCAAGCCTTCAGAAAGGATGCATCACCAAGAGAGATAATCTAATCACCCAGGCCTTCAGAAAGGATACATCACTAAGAGAGATAATCTAATCACCTAGGCCTTCAGAAAGGATGCTTCTCCAGTGACAAGACTACTCACAGTCCTTGCTCTATATCTGCCTCATTACTTTTGGGAAAAATGGACCCCCACCCCCAACTAAGACAAAAAAAAATTTCACTAAATAATGTGGATTCTTAATGTTAAATGTTAATAATGAAACACTGGTTATTTAAGGTTTTAAAACTGAATTAGTGAAACAATATGGGAAACTAAGTTAATATTATATTAACTTCAAACCTGTATATCTATCCATATGTGTGTGTGTACATATATATATATATATATTTTCTAAAGATGAGTTTCCCATTAACCTCTAACTGGATTAACCCATGGGAATTTCTTCCTTACTTCTGCTTTATATACTTATATTCAATGAAATGTTTGTCATGATTTAGGTGTAATTTTACTAAATAAATGATTGAAATTACTGTAAGCCTGGATGTAGGCACTTTTAACATATCAGTTTCCATTTCACTGTCATCAAATAAAACTGTTTATACAAGTATGGATCATTTTTTCAATTATATTCAACCTCAAAACAATGTCCCATAACCACATGCAATCACTTGATTGGATTTTAAAATTTTATAAACTGACCTTTTGAATAATAAAGATTAGGAATGAATTTAGAAAAAATTAAAGACCTAAAAATTGAGACTAAACCATGGTTGTTAATTTAAATGGTTCTTAATGTCTTCAGTATATCATGTATACGTATGATTGTATAATAATACATGCTATCCTGTATTGATGCTTCTTTTTACTATAACTATATATTTTATATTATTATTTTCTCCTTTCACTATAAAGTATAACCCAAATGTTAAATTTTAAAGTTTAATAAAATTAAGTTAATGAATTAGGTTTATCTCAGTCAAACAATTTCATCAATAAATATTTATCACTTGGACATTCTCCTACTTTCTTTAACTTATGAAACTTCTGCAGGCTCTGTTTCAAGAAGTAACTTGGTTTTTTTCATGGTGTATATTGATTAAAGTTTTAAAATTTGGGTAGCTTTATACTATTCAAAGTGTTCAAGTAACACTTCTCAATGTAACCATTATTTAGTTTGTCTAATGTTTTAAACTTTTAAATTAATTCTGATAAATTTTACTTTACTTTGAAAAAATTAAAATGTTTAATTTGGAGTGTGACTATTGTGCTATATATTTAACAACTCCAGTCAGTACATATGCTTTTTTATCCTTCTTTGTTTGTTATCATTAGGTAGAAACTTTTTTTTGTCAAGTCATAACTCTGTTTTATTATGAAAATCTTAAAAATCATATTCATTCATAATTGCAAATAGGCCTATAAATATAATTTACAAGTATGAATCCACAGATCTGACCTGGACTATGGAATAATGACCATTACTTAGTTTTATTGTACTACTATTAGTATTTTTGACTAAGTCACACTGAATTTTACTTTTAAGTCTATGTTTTTTTAAATTTAAGTAGACTTTCATCCTGCATTTACAAAACTTAAGCTAACTTAAAACTCATAAAAGAAATTCCTTTTGAATTCAAGAGGTTGAAAAGTTTGTCACCTTGGTATTTCAAATCTAACTCCCTTAGCTGTGTGATATTTCTTTGTACATCATTAGGTAGATTTTCAACGCAATCCAGATAGTCTTCTACGTAAGCAGCCGAATACATTGCCTCGATAGCTGCTTGATTCAACATCGTATTCCATAAATTTTCAAATTCCAGAATTTTGGGGTCTCTGTCAGTGTCTAGTGACACAGCTCTCTACTGGAAAATAAAACTTTAATTTGTAAAATAAAAATAAATAAACGACTAACTTAAAACCTATATATATCTGTATATTAACATGTGATTAGAATTACTATTAGTACTAGTAACAAATAAAATGAAATATTTATGTACACATATATTAATAATAATAGTAATACAACATCGATGATCCCGAGATAAATAAAGTTAAAAGTAAATTTATCAACTTCTAATTCAGTACTTGGCTTCCTATCACCTGCTTTCTACTAATATCTGTTACTTATTATACATTTTGAAACAAAGCTAAAGAATAAAAACTGAAAAATGCAATAACTTTGCTTATTTACTTTTTATCAGATTTGAGTATTAGTATTACTATTTAGGCAAGCTAAACTTTTGCATAGAACTAGAAGCACGATGCCAGTTTATGTTCTTTATTGACGGAAATGACGCAAATACAATAAAGGCGGCGCTCATTGAAGATGTATAAATAAAAATAACACAAACTACCTTTATAATGACTGGTGACTAAAAAAAAAATTACTTCTTGAAAATGTTAAATACTGAAAATGTAATGAAGATATGTTTATTAAAAATTAAATATATAACATTAACATACACATATAAAGACTGTTATTGTGTGTTTTCTTTTATAATTTTAACTATAATTAAATTGTTTATAGCGAACTCTATAGAATAATAAAACTCGTGGTTTAGAAGTCACATTACGTTTCTTGTTTGTTTGTGTTAAGCGCAAACCTACACAATGGTCTACTTGTGTTGTGCCCACTACGAGTATCGAAACCAGACTTTTAGCGTTATAAGCTCTCACACTTACCGCTGAGTTACTGGGGACGTCGCATTAAGATAATGGTAAATAAGTTAATAGATAATGCAAAACATAGTGTAGAGAATTCTTGATCGAATGCATCAAAAATTGGGTCATTCAAATACATAAAAAAGGGAGACTAACTAGAATATTATTATTTTTTACTAGTTTTTAACCGGCATTACAACTATTTTAATCACAGATTCACCGATTACCCTCTAAGTGAACGAGAAGGATCCTCAAAAACAGGAAATCCTTCGGATAATATGCTACGAAATAAAGGTTTGATTTCATTTGTTCTAGAACCAAATAATAATAATAATGAATGAGCATAAAATTGAGCAAATAAACAATTTACTTGGTCACAAAACAATCAAAGTTAAATAACAAACGCTAGCAAGTGTTTCTTTGTGCTCAGTGAAAACTGGAGAGAGATCTTTATTGAGTTTCTTTCAACAGATCAGATTTGCAGTTAAAATTCGAACTTATAACTATAAACATTTGTTAAAAAAGAACACTGACTTAGAATCTAAATACTAGCTTTAAATATCAGAAAACAAAGAATCCTATCTAAAACTCACTAAATATGTCCGAAACAAAGAAAATATTGTAATACATACAACACACTCATTTTATCTCTTTAGGCACATACGCTGTCTATGTGACTGAGGAACACTCTCAAGTCAACAAGGAGTGTCAAGCTCTCAGGACACCACCTTGCTGACCATAAGAAACGATCATTGTCGCTATTTATAATGATTAATGCGACAGTAAGTTTTCCTAATGGAGAACTCTGTGACATCTTTGATGATTCACTCCATCCCATCAATAATAAAAGCAAGTGGAGCTTAGTGGCTCTCTTTCTCTTAACCAATGTTCTAATATAAAAACAACACAAAGCACTGAAAAGCACCATAGCCAGACCCAATCTCCAAAATGGTATATCCATTTTTTACCATCCTGTCATAGCATTTATTCTGTCTTTGAGAGGCATTTCGAAGTTGTTTACAGAAAATTTGTGCACATTGATCAATGCAGACCTTAACGACTCCACGTATTTATGCATATTTTCATCACATCTAATACTTTATGCAACTGAGAGATTAAATGACTGTTGAAATTAGCTCCCTGATCCATGTATATCTCTTATGATACTCCAAACTATTGCTCTGCTAGCACATCAACTACTGACTGTGCTGATTTATTGACTAATGGATAAGTCTCGGTCTATTTTGTAAAGTTACCCATAGTGACAAGTATTTTCTGATGGCCCTTCTCAGTCTATGTTGGACAATTGAATCCTGGGCTATTCTCTTTGCAGAAGATCCAGCAATTCTCTGTTGGAGTGTACTTTGTCTCAGCCGGTTATTTCTCTTGGTTATAGACACCATACAGTATTCCCACTAGCGCTGAACTTCTCAATTTGAATGTGATTGGAAGGTGTTATCCAGTTGTTGCGCTGTGGAAAGAGTAATTATCAGAGACAAGGCTTGATATGCCAGTCTGAGTGCACTATATATTATTTTTACTTAATCATTTAAAAGAACTAGCCCAACGAACAAACAATATTACAACAGTCTCCTAGAGAGCAACAAAGCTACAGAGGTAACTAGAACGTAAACAACTCAACGGTTTTCTGGACCTCGTATTTATGCGAAAACTGCATAGAATCAGGCTACATGAAAAATTTCGAAAATTCCTATTATAGGAAATAGAAAACATGTAGTATGCCTATATACTACAAATATATATCAAAATATGTTTATACTCTTTTAAAATAGGTTGTGCTCAATATATTTAATTAAACAAGAGATAATATACATAAGAAATATCAAGTTTGTGAAATAAGGTCATATTCCCAATCGAAGCTGTACCTTACACAAAAATGATAAAATAAAACATCAATTTCGGGTTAAATAATATTTTTGACGTTATTCTCTACATTGAACAAAAATGTAAAATGATTAAAATTAACATTGTACACTAACAGTAATTTTCACTCTCAAGGTGGCACTACCTAATATTTTTACTTCGCTCTAAACCGTGAGTTTCATGTGATGTTTATATTAACAATATCGCAATTAGGGTTTATTTCGTTCTTGTTATACAATATAGGTATTAAATTTCTCCAATATCAAATTCCTAGTAATAATATTACGTAACACAGAAAATATTCTATGTTATGAATGAGTAATTCTATTTTACTTAATTGTTACTGTTTAATACTTGCTAAAAAAGGTAAAAATAAATTGCATATAATATATTAATTATATATATTATTTTATTATTAAATAGCTATGTTACGTACATCTACAGTCTATCGTCTAGTACTAGTACTACTAATACTAATAGTATTACTGATACTTGTTTGATTCTATCTCTGCCTCGCACATAAATTTCTTCTATAAGTGCCAGACCTCCACAATATTGATACTACTATTACAAATTCTATTGCCTCAGTGGCAAGTCTGAAGCCCTGTAACGTTAAAAACCGGGTTTCGATACCTTTGCTTGGCACAGCACAGCTAGCCCATTCTGTAGCTTTGTGCTTAGCAATAAACAAACAAATTATGTTAGTATTATTATGATTATTAATCATTGGTCAGTGGTATTATTACTATTAAGTTTTGACCACTTATCGGTTTGTATGAATAGTTGAAGTATTCCAAGAAATGAAGAATATACTTGTATAGATCTAAATCTGTTCCTTAGGCTTTTATTCCACCCCCCACAGTTAATGTAAACATTAAAAATCACTGTAACATCAATTAAAAGTTATTATATTTTATATAACCTCCTTGTAAAATATTTTAATCTATAGCTCTAAGTATTTAATACTATTAATATAGGAATTGAACTACAGTGCAAGTTTGTTATTTTTACATTGGAAATCTGTGCCATGATGATTAATGTTTGTATCATAAATTTCCTTGAATTAAGGGCAACATTGAAATTACCATTACAAATTAATAGAGTACAGAACAATTGTATTAAAGCAGGCTACAACTAGATTGATATAATTGTACACACTTTTTTGTACTTGTAGTACTTGTGGCTACTAATATTATAAAAAGCAATATGTAAATTGTTCTTATGTACATAAATATATATATATGCATTAATTTAAAACTATTTTTGATTTCCTTGTGCATAGGTTTTTTTTGTGAAACTAATGTGAAAAGCTGAAAGAGTAGACTATTCACAGTTCTGATTGTTGTAACTCGACAAGGTCAAGAGATGCTAGATAAACTTTGCAGACATTCGCTTCGTAATCTTTTGTGGGTATATCACAACAGAAATTTTCAGTTGATGAGAACATTTGGCCAAGTATCAGTTGGACCTCATGCCTTGTATAGTAAAGGCTCACACAGCACTGAGAAGAGAAACCCATGGGAGTGGCAACAACCTGAAGGCTGGGATACTGGTATTCAAGTTTATAATAGCATTGCACACAAAAAAGTTCCTTTTATTTTGAGAAATCGGCGATTAGTCACCTGGTAGGAGATTTTGTATTTTTTAAATTTTAATAAAGGTGATAGATAAAGTTATGGAACAAGTGCAGCAGTAGATACAAAAAAAATGCTTTTGATATGTACTTATAGATACAAAACAAAAAATGCTTTTGATACATATCTATAAGTACATATCAAAAGCATTTTTTGTTTTGTATCTATAAGTAAAAAGCATTTTTTGTTTTGGGGTACT